TTATTACAGGATACATTGCAAGGGGGTTTACATGTTGAGTAAATATGGTATATAAAGCTAAGCTTTATTATTAAATTTTCTTCTAACTTATAATTCTGATATTCGACTAAAACTCTTAACTGAAGTGCCAATATTACATCACATAGTGTAGTATTACCATTAAAACAAACACATATGAGTTTGCCAATTCCATGTTGTGCTCTACTGAGTCCATCCAAAAAAGAAAAGTAAACAAATACTGATATTTTGAAGGGGGTAAGCTGGAATGCTCACTTTTGTTAAAAATTTTGGTGAGGTCAGTGAGAAGCAGAATAGAGGAGAAAAACCACTTGTACATAAAATAAAAGAGTATAAGTTTCTTTTACTAGAATTAAATAAAGCCACACTGGAACTTGCGCAGAACTAAGTTTTTTTGATGAGTGATAAACTTTGAGCTTGTTAGCAGATAGCAATGAGAACTATCTCTAAATGACAAGTACTATACCTGTTGCTACAGTAAGTGATAAACTCTAAAAAAATTAGCAGATGGCATATAAGAACTATCTCTAAACTATAGTTGCTATTTTAAGGTCCTTTTTTGCATATCTTATATGTCTAATATAGTTATTATTATTTTTCCTAGTAGAAAGTTTTTTAAAAATTTTTAGTAAAAGTAATTATCAGAAAGAGTTTGCAGTATTGTATTAGAGTCACTTTTTTTAAAAAAACATAATATTATTTAATTATATTTAATGGCTTTTGCAAACATTAGTTACATATTGTATTAGTATTAAAGCAAATATAGTATTTTATAATTATTATTAATAAAAGCAATTATTTTTTAAACAAAAGTAAAATCATATAGTTAAGGAATATTGAAACAGAATTGGTTATATTAATATTACAAAGGGTCCATGTTACTTGCCCTACAACAATTTGCCCGACAGCTATTTTTTTAGTAATATTTTTAAGAATATTATTAAAAAAATAGCTGTCAGGCAAATTGTTGTAGGGCAAGTGATATGGACCCTATTACAAGCTTGTAAATATGAGTTTAGCAAAATTTTATTTTATAAGAATAAAGTACTAAACAAAAAACTTTCTTGGCTGTATTAAAAGCACTTATTTTCACTAATAGTTAAGATTATTTCAATAATTTTTACTAGTAAAAAATTCTGGAAGCACATTAATAAAATACTTTTTGTTATATACTGTTTAGCACTATATATAGTACCTGGGTCTTATTCAAGAACACTATTTTTAAAATTGAATAGTACTAGATACTATTTATAAATCAAGCAATTTCATTGGTAAAAAAGGAGAATACTTTATATGGTAGGATATTATTCAAAGGTGATACTTTATATAGTGCTAAATAGTAGTTTCTGAAGAGCCTTTGTACTTAGTAAAAGATATACAAATAGAAAATGAAATATACGACAGATTGAAGGATGAAAAGGTAAAACAAAGATGTTGGTTAAGCAACTCATGTGATCATGTAATTAATCGAAGTTGTGGTGGAAATTGAGATATGGGGTGGCATATGTAAAATCAAATATGATAGATACCATGATCATTGATGCATAAATGGGGTCATTTGCAGCAAAATAGTGTAATGGGACAATTATGTAATTTTGAGAAAATCGCAATTGAAAATTATCACATGATTAATTTTTAATATAACAATTATGAAAAAATAATTTAAATTTATACACTTTTTATTAGCATATTTTCCAAATTAAAACCATTTTTAAAAAGATAAAATATATAAGCAGATTATTATTACAAAATTTCAAAATCTGATTGGTTGGCCCATTACACCGTTTTACTATATGAGACCCCAAATATAACGATTAATTAAAGGTGATTGAAAAGTCAATTAAATTAATAACAAAGAAATATTAAAGTGTAATACAAGATATGTAATTGTTGAGTTATATAAATAATAAAATATAAATAAAGAATTAAACAATTTTTTAACTAAAAAATTAAGTAAATAAATGAATAGTTAAAGTAAATACTTACATGCAAAGTGCAGAGAGCATCGTTGTAAAAGGAGGAGTATTTCTAGTGCCAAGCAAGATTTGTAAAGTATTAAACTGTCTGGAGTAGATAGTAGCTATTCAGATAATTATCTAACTCTTTGACAAAGAAGGACCTGGGTAAGAAAAGTACAATTGCAATGTAAATGGCATAAAAAATTGAATGAAATAGTCAAAAGACTCAAAGAATATTTAAATAAAAAATATTATAACAAAAAAAAAAAAATAGTAAAACATTAATAAACCAAACTTAAAGATATTAATAAATAAAAATTAAGGATCAATAAATAAAAACATTAATATTTAAAGAATGTTAATAAAAAATTAAGAAATAGAATTTAATAATAAACACTAATTCATAAGAATATTAATAGAAAGTATATATTAACCAATAAATAAGGAATATTTAATACAAACTTAGTATAGAAAAGATCAATATGTTAACTCAAAATTTCACCAAGCTGTTTTACCATAGCAGAGAAAATGAAGATATTGAGGATTTTATCTTTGATTTTGAAATATATACTAAATTGAAACAATGAGATGATAATAAGAAAAAGATGATGATTAGGCTTCATGTTGCTAAAAAGGCAAGAGTATGAGTATATGTATTGATAAAGAGTTCAAATAATTAGATAGATCTAAAAGGCAAGATAGAAAAGACTATGAAAACAAAATATTATGTGGAAGAGAAGGTTGCAAGGCTAATAAGGATAAGGCAGGAAGAGAACAAATCAGTAGTTGAATATTTCAACTAGTTTGAGTCATAGCTCATACAATTAGAGATGAAGTACATGATAGAAAAAAATGAAAGTAGTTTATAGCTAAGCTAAAAAATAAATATTGATCAAAAGTGAAGAAATATTTTCTGGCCAATTATAATAAAGCAATGAATCTGGTTATAAAAATTGAAAGGTATAATAAAGACAATAAGTACAACTTGCAAAGGATGAATAAGATATTAATTAAAAGATCTAATGAAGCTATTGGCAAAAGCAATGGAAGCCTTAAAAATTTCCCAGGTTGAAAAGAAACCTGATGACAATATTAAAGAGATAAAAAATACTTTAAAAGAAATGACAAAAGTAATAAAAGATTTAATGAAGAAGGAATACTCAATAGCAAAATAATCAAAACATAGAACTTTAATATTTCATGTACCAAAAGGATAGTTACATGTCACATAACTGTCTAGAAAAGATATTAAAAGACCATTATGTTGATAAATTTGAAGAATATCAGAGAAATGAATGTAACTTGGATAAAGAAAATGAAGTCAAAAAGATCTCAATATTTATCTAGTAGAATTTATCAATGATGAATTAAAATATAATGAGAAATATTTGCTAGTTAAATTGGTTGATAGTGTTGGTGATGTTAGAAATTTGAGAAAAGGAAATATGATGATTAATTAATAAAAAGAAGTCTAATAAAAGGAGAATATTGAAAAATATATTAGAAAAAAACCCAAATGAAATAAAGCTAGATCAAAAGAATATTAACAAGAGCTTTGCTATATATATACTGCTAAAGAAATTGATAAAAAACTTTGATATTCTAAAAACTGTAGCTGATCTAAAATTTAATATTTTGCTTAAACAACTGTTTAAATGATTGCCTAAAGCTAAGAATGAAATTATGAGGGCATTAGCTTATAAAAAGAAAGACACTAATATTATGAACATGGATGTTAGAATATAATTGGTAAAAGAAAATAAAGTGCAAGAAAATAAAAATAAAATAGTTTCAATATGGCCTGCTTTAATAAATAGAGATTCAGTTAATGTATCTATAGATCCTAGTTTCTATCTAAACTTAATGTATGAGAACTATGCAAAGAAAAAAGGACTATGATGGAATCAGGTATATAAAAAAAGAAGGATGTTAAATAACAGAATAAGTAAATTTAAAAGATTATATCCCAAGTAGAAGTTGAGATAAAAGGAGTAATAACAAATCAAAGCTTTTACATAATGAAATCAGCAAACTTTGATATATTGTTGGGAATGCCTTGAATAGCAAATACACAATATAGCCTAAACTAGAAAAAGAATGAATATTGGTCTATGGTAACATCACCAGAAAGACAATTGTCGTTCGTTGTATCAGTAGTGCTTTGGAGTTACTATTCTGATTTTAATTCTTGCCTACTAGCTGGGCTCACTAATTATAAATTCAATATCTAGTTTACTTTGTAGATCCAGTTCAGTATTTTCACTAATTATATATTAATCATTCAAATCTAGATGAGACTTAACCACTCTACTAGGTTTAGATTATAGATAAATAATTAGTCTGAGCTTTTATTCTTGCATATAATTTATATTTATTTATTTATATATAATTGAGTTTTGTTTCTTTATAATTACTTATATAAACTACTTAATAAAGATATGAGCAAGGCCTCACCTTTTAACATTAAATATATAAATATATATATATATATTAGTATATAATTTTTTTAAACTAATTAGTGACTAATTATTATTATATAATTAAATAATTTATTAATAAACTTTAATATCAAATATAAAATCAAAATTATATACAAATACAAATATTTTCAAAAATATTTAATATAAATTTAGTAAAATAAATAAAATTAATTGTTTAATAAAACAAAACTAGCAATATATTTATAAAGTTAAAATGTTAACAACAATGTTAAAATAATATAAAGTAATTAAAATTGTTTTATACAAACATAAATAAAGACAAAATCAATAAATAACTAAAAAAAGTTAAAACTTAGACTACGTATTTATAAAAAAAAAATTTAAAAATAATTACTATATCTAATATATATAAATTGTTATAACAATTAAAAAGAGTCATGTCATTAGATTCTTGTTGGGAAGAAAAATCATTAAATTGATATGCCTTCATGTGAGAAAAACAGAATGCATATGTAGTTAACGTTATTAAGAAAAGTTTAATTACACAAAAATAAATGAATTAATTAATTTAATACCTGATAAATTAATTAGCTTCCCACAATCCTCTATTCCAAAAATCATTGGTAGGTAACAAAGTATACCCAGCTCTACTTCTAATCTCGGGGTAATGTTTGTATATATACCATGCAGCAAATCCAATAAGAGTACCAACTAAAAATAACACAACAATTAATGCATCAAGTGCAAATGCAGGTCGTTCTATTGGATCATCTGGTGATGAGATCGGTGGTATTGGAGATGGTGTTGGAGGTGGTTCAAAGTTTGTTAAGGAAGTTTCTGAAAGAATAGGTGGAATAAAAACAGAATTCCATTCGTAATGATATTGATTTGGCGTGTATAGCAAAAATATACGATTACTAGCAATTTCCTTATTATGTAATTTATCATATGTTAATCCTAATATAAATTGAATAATTATAAGAATAAGTAAAATAATGTAAGATTATATTGAAATTAATTCAATTAATTCTTACATACCAAATGCAATGATCATATAATCGTCAATCATAGTAGCAGTATGAGCATAATAAGGTAAAATTTCAATTGAATTCTTTACGCCAGTTATATCAGGGATCGACCATATGAAATGAGTATCTAATACCGCTAATTGAAGTTCTGCCGGCAATCCATCATTTTCACCGCCCCAAATTAGAATTCGATCGTCCTTGGCTAAATTATAGCGTTTATTAACATATGACAGTCATTAGAATTAAAAATATGTATTTAGCTTACTAAGGACTGATGTATGCATAGCACGTTTTCCAGGAATTTGACCGCTTGCTTTCTAAATATATATATTTTAGAATACGTATAAAAATTTAAATAAAAAATATATATTACGTATAATGAATATATTCTTACCATAACAGACCATGAAGCTGTATTTGTATTATACAGCATAATCTAAATAATGAATTAAGTTAACAAAATTTTTTTAAAACATATACGTACGTAGATAGATTCACAAAAATGAATGAATTAAATAACAAACCTTATTCATATCATGATAACCATTATTATTCCGTCCGCCAATGTAAGCAATGATCCCATCCTTTAACATAGTAGCAGAAAATCCATTGTTAAACTCGAGGGTAAGATTGGAAACACTTTTAATAGATTTACTCCAAATCAAATTCACAGTATCCAAGATATTAAAATCATTATAAATTTTCAATGGTAATCCCATATCGGCATCACTTAATCCAGCATATAGGTACATTCGTCCTTTAGAATCACAGGTTGATGTCAATTGTTTTCTTATATTTGGTTCATTACCATTGATTTTTGGATGTGACCATTGTCGAGAGACAGTGTTAAAAGTATAAATTAATGAATCTTGTTTATTTGAAAGATCACGTTCACCTCCAAAGAAGTAAATAGACATATTACCACACAGAGAGGCAGTACCTCTTTGATGTGGGGGAAGAGATTTAGAAAGGTAAGAAAGGTCATGAAAGGGGAGAAAAGATAAATTTGTGATTAGAAATGGTTTTGAAAAGTCAAGGTAAAAAAAATCATTTGTTCGTTGGCCATAGTTGTCTTTCCCACCCAGAAAGTATAATTTGTTTTCTACTAAAACTGCAGTATGACCACTTCGTTCCTCCGGAAAATAAGCTGGGGTTGCATTTACAAATATTATAATGGATAATATTAATGCTAGCAACCGTGCGTAATTCATATTTTTAATTGTATTTGTTATCGAAGAGAGAGTTTTATTTGGAATGAATGTCGATCTGTAATATATACATTAATATGAATTCGTTATTATGGTACTTAGTTTCACAGCTTTTTACATGTAAATATCTACCAAATGTAACATTCCTGTTTGTTCTTATTCTAAACATGGATGCTGTTACGTATAAAATAAAATGTGGCTACGTAGAAAATATTTATGAGTAAATATTATCATGTTCTACGTACGTACGTACGTACGTATGAGATTTTAACATGTTTTTGTATTAAGAAATTACTATTTGCCAGGACTGTTATTTCATCATAAATATACATTATTGTTAAGAGCTGTAAATGATCAAAAAAATCATTGCCTAATTGTTCCTGAATTCATTATAGCAATTACATTTTATCAGGAAACGTAATGGTACATATTTTGTTACCTATTCCATTATCGTTATACATACATATGTACAGTACATATGTATATTAAACTTAATGTTATTTGGGTAATACTGTAATACATAACGTATCAAAAAAAACAAAAAAAACATGTAAATCATGTGGTCAATAATTTTAAATAAAACATAGAACGGGTAATCAAACAGGTAATCAGACAGGTAATCAGAAACAAACGCTTTGAATTCGGCTTACATGGTTATCACCGAAAGTACCGATTCTATGTAAACTTTGAATAATAGTAAATTTCTCACGATTGTTTATAACTGTAAGGGTCTTGTTTGTTATTATTAGTTGGGAAAACCATTGTCTTATAAAGGTTGACATGTGATTTGTACGAAGTGATCATATTATCGCAGTATTATCGTTATAATCTTATCTATCAAAGACTCATATACGATATTTGGAATATGTAAGTTATATAGATAATGATAAAGATTTTTGTATTGTTTTCAATGTAACAACGTAGATGTTCTTTTTTCTTTAAGCGGTCTCTGTCGTCACCAAATTTATTGAACTGATTCGTAAATCGTGTCATTAAATCATAGGCGCGTATATTAGTCAACATCGTACTGTATATCCCAATATAGAAATACGTACGTACATACGTATCTTGTTTCACTTTATACTTCATATCAGACCATTTCCCGCTTTCAAACCGGAAGAACTGGCCGATCATTACAATAATTAGATACGGTATACTTAAACATTTTTCTTATGATAATTTCAATTATATATATCGATATCCTTCTTTATAATCACCAGGTTGATTACTTAAGGATTTTTTGAAAAAAATGTGCTTATAAAGAGGTATATTTTATATGTTTAATATAATTTGGTTTAAATATAAATGCGATAAAGAGAGAGGGGTTTTATAAGATGTGCTTATGGGGGATGGTGATTATATGGAGGGTTGACTGTATCGTATATCGTATATTAAAGTAAATATATTATTATACTGTATGATCAAACTTTTGTGATTTTTAAAATATATCTATTAAATTAGGTTTAGTTTAGTTCAATTCAAGTTAGTTTAGTTTAAAATTAATTTTTAGTTTGATTATTTAATTATACTAAATTAGTTTTTAGTTTAATACACAATAAATGAGTTTTTATAATCATTAAGTGTGGAGAAACTTATCACGTGTATTAAATGATCGAAAAAAATATTAAATGCTATACGATTTGCAAAGTTCACGCTAATATCTTAAGAACGAAAGTGTTTTTCTGTGATTTTGGTTTAAATGAGTGCTACGAACCTGTAGCTACAATTTATGCTTAAAAACTAACAATATACATGGATTATTTGAATTATAATAGATATAACGATAATTATACCCTGGTCACTATATCAAGATCGCAGGGCATAAATCAGTTATGTCCTGGGCACTATGTGATAAGCGGGACTTTCAGCCCCGCTTATACCCAACTGCCCAGGAAATAACTATTACATATATATAATAGTATTTTAAGGGCCATGACAGATATTAGTTAATATTTTTGGGGTGTGGTAAAAAAAACGTAGTTTAATTTTGATTAGTTGAAAAGTTTAAAATATCTTAAAAGTAGGGGGTGGGTAAGCCTCTATAGTAAATGGATATTAGGTAATAAATGCCCTGGCCCTAATTGATTTATAAATTTATTAACTATATACCAATAAATATTATTAGATTAAATGGAGTATAGGTGAGCGTACGATAATTAAAAGTTAGTAGTGAGATTAATACTGTATAACCTTAGTTGGTAGACAAAAACAATTAGAATTCAATAAATATCTCAGAAGGGATGAACTTTATGATAAATGTATTTCAGTAATGTCTAACATGTTCTATAACTTTTACATTATCATTATTTCACAGTTTAAAGCATATGACGCCGCTGTCAAAGTAAATCTTTAAAATCTCATGTTTATGTAAAAGTCTTGGTATTATAGTAACTCAAATTTACTAATTTAGTGTTTTTGAATAGGAAGAATTAAATTATTTTAATACGTAGTAATGTTTATGGTTCTAATCAAACTATCTATATGCGCTCCTTTTCTTTTAAAAATAACCAAATATGGTGCAAATTAATTAATCTGAAACGAAGTGGAGAATACGTACAAATTGATAAAGTTTTGTTTCCCGTCCGACCACGTGATTTTAAACCAATCAAATAGTAATGTATACTGCATGTATATACAATATTTTAGCACCAGGCATAACGGGTTGCATTTTTAAATGGGGATGTTTTTTTTTGCCATGTTGCTACGTTACAGTCAATTCTTTATAAGCGCATTTATGGAAGGTATTTGTTAAAGGTTCTATACAAGCTTAGGATTAAACTCTTATTGCTACGTTACAGTCAACTCTTTATAAGCGCATTTATGGAAGGTGTTTGTTAAAGGTTCTATACAAGCTTAGGATTAAACTCTTAGATATGTTGTTACATAATGTATATGTAATAAATCTGACACATGATAAGTTGAATTTCGGACCAAATTTTTGTCAAGTCCGATTTATCAAATATATAATTACCAGTGTTTACATTTCTCCAACCCTAGTCTATTGTGCTTCATTGGGAATTTTTAATATCAGCTATTATTTCTACTATTAACGTTAAAATTTTAATTTGTCTGTCCACCTTTGTAATCTAATTGGTCAATTTTAGGTACGTAATTGGGGTTATCCTTCTGTAATTACGGGGGTTACCTATCGCTAAAAACCAATGATGTAATAAAAGAGAAATTATCCTTCAGTCTACTATGATTTGCATAAATCAATAATTTTACATAAGAGCGTCGTAGACAGAAGGATAATACCGTCACTGGGCATGTAAATGAACAATAACTGCATTATAGTATTCGTTAAAGATTTGTTAATTAAATGCTATTCGGCCGCTACCGTGGCCGAATGCACCTAACAAATCTTTTCCGAAATTTTTGACGGATAATTTTTCAGTTATTGGCCGCTACGCAGCCGACAACTGATTATTCATGCAAAAATTTTCGACAAATAACTGCAGTTATTATATTATTCACACCCAATAACTAAATATTATTATTATTATTAATGTACTAGCAATTTATTATACATAAATTATTTTGTTTTATATGTGAAGGAAAAAAAATTCTCCATTGCTCTATTCCGTATACATAGAAATGCCCCGGGGGTGCCAACACTGATAATTACCGCCAATTGAGTAACGTTCGTACTTGCCAAGTTCTGAAGTTACGGTACTTGAGTTATCTGGTAATGATTATGTAATCCACAAATAATCTCGTTTACGGATATTAAGTAGATGACGTAAGCGACCAATAACTTGTTTATCCACCTTAGCGTCATTTTGCTGGCCAACAAAATTTCGAGATTAAATCAATATGAAACATTTTTTGCTCAAAATTTGTTTATGAAACAGCCTTCTGCGTACTAACAAAAAAATTTCTTTTTTGCAGAATTTTAGTATTTCAAACCTTAATCTAATGTTGAAAATGTATTCTAACCGGTTAGTGAAAAATTTTTCTGACGAAATTCTTAGTTAAATAACGCCAACTGGATAATGAATTATTCTCATTATGGGTTGCATCGCACTCAATAATTATTATTAAGTCCTTATTGCAATTCCGACACACAATCCCGACAAATTTAACTGTCATCAAAAATATGATTGGTGAATATTGTCCCGCTTAAAATTTTGACGCCCAAAATCCTATTATTACTTAGTACTCTGATTTGTGTAATTAAACAATATTAACCTAAAAAATCTTACTACGTACGTATGCTAAAAAAATCATACTATACTAAAAATGTAATATTTAATAAGATTATATAAAAATCCGTCAAATATTGCATTGTCACGTGAAAACGGCACTTAAAAAAAACTTTTCAAAACACAAGCTACGTATAACTTACTAACACTACGATTTTATCGATCTTTTGTTTTTAATATAATCAAATAATCTTTAAAATGCCAAAAAAAAACAAAAAAACATTAATTAAAAAACCAGTATAATTTGAAATAGTTATATGCGGTATTACAGCAAACAATTAATATAAATTATATCAGATAGTTACCGATATACTGTATAATTTCTTGTATTTTGAAAATTAACGATACCTAACTAGTTTTATTTAAATCTATTAGATATCAATCATACGTATTAAAACATCAAATATCTGTTTTCTTAAAACTAAAAGATTTGAGTACATATCTGATATGTTAGATTTGGTACGTATGTATCACCCTTATTACCTGTTATCAAAAGTCTAACTAATGGTAGTAAGAAAAGTATCTGGTGACTTGATTAGATATGATTCAAATGATTGTTTTACTTTGTTCAGAAATTTATTATATTTCTGGATAAAAGCCTTGCTAATAGAGTCTATAACTATAATGTACGTATAATGTAATCTAAATAGGAAAATTTCAATCATCTTT